TAGTTTCCCAACGTGGGATCCAACCCAACAGCCGAGTGCCCCTGAGGTTACTCAGAGGTAAACGGGGATCGGTTTTATTTGCTTTGAGTGAAATCACGCCGCCGAAACGCTGTTAAAGAGAGGAGGGTTTAGTTCTGCAGATCTTGCACCTTGCAAGTTCAAGTAGGCCGTCTAGACGGGGTGTTTTACGCTGTGCTGACATGTATATAGAGTAACAGCTGAAGCAAGAAGCCTCATATACCCATGATTCGAGGAGGAACAAGAAGGGCACTGTTCAGGTATGTTTGTTGTGCCCTCAGACACATTGGTGGTGCCAGGATGGGTTTCCCGGGGCCAGGTTCTAAATGCAGTTTTGCCCTTGCGAGTTTGAAGTGACTCCCCTGGGCTCATTATCCCAGGTCTTCCCATTACTATTAGGGACAAAATGATGTTGTCACAGTTGTGTTCACAACTAGTAAGTGGCTGTGTCCAGCACGATGTGATTAATACTATTTCTGCAGTAACTGGAGTTATTGGGGGCTGCATTATTCACTGTTCAGAGGACAAGTGATGTGCGCTGCTAAACTCACAGTCAGGGAGCTGGGGAATACCCGGCAACAAGTGAAGCCAATATTAGAGAAGCAAAACAAGTTTTGGAAGCTACTTCTGCTTAGTAACAACTCCTACCCAGTAGAAAAACTGCACTGTCAGTGGTGAGGAATGATTAAGGAACTTTCACCAGCAGAGAGGTTGTCCCAGAGAAAACTGCCGAGGAGAATGCAGACATTTTTCTGCCCTGAACATGTCAGGTTTTGAAGGTTTTGTGCAAGGCTTGAAACAATTTCCAATGCTGAATGTTACCAAGGCTTTCAGACAGTCCTGTGATGTCGGGATGTAAAGACCAAATGAGATTCCGTTTACACAAGGAAAATGAATATTTAAATAAAAACCAGCCACCATCAAAAATGTTTTAAAAAATGCTGTTTTGGTTAATGCAACATACTGTATTTCTGCCAAGAAAGGCAGTTCCTGATCAGGACATGCCACGTTTTCCTCTGGAGATTTTGCAGGCAGGGTGGTCTTCCATGAGGGACAGGAAAGGGCTTAGTTAACATTACACATCCTTCATATATGCAGGCTGGTAAATGTAAGGCATTACAGCTGTGCAGTTTGTCACCAAAAACTGAGCTGAAAGAAGTCTAAATACAGGGGTCCAACCGGAATATGACCTAGTCACTCCCAACACCTTTTATTCTCCCCCTTCATAATAAAGTAACTTTTCTTGTATTTGTGCAGCCAGATCTACTTGGTCCTTAGAGAGATTAGATGTTAAAGACAGAAAAAAAAAAGAGGATAATGCAAAAACACCATAACAAGTGATTTATTATTTTCCCATAGACTACAAAAGAAACCTGCAGCCCCATTATGCTACACTATGTTTATTTTGATAGGAAAAAGCTTTGGTACTGGAAGGAATGCGCTTTGTACCACAGAGAACAAGACCCATTTTGGAGGCAGGAGCTGCTCTGAAGACCTCAGCTTTCCTTTCTTTACAGATACCTGTTGAAATCACCTATATATAAAGGAGGGGAATAGTTGGCAAACCAAGTTGACTTCAGTGAGACAACATATTGCTTCTATTTTAGAAAGCATCCTCCATCAGTGCATGTTTAAACCCAGTGAGACCTGAGCACATGCCTGAAGTTAAACATATGCTGAAGTCTTTTCCTGAAACAGATACATGTGAGGAAACACTTATCAGCTGGAATATGGTATTCATTCCCTGGTTCATCCCCTCTTTTCCTCCTAGAGTTTCTAGAGTTTGTAACGTAAAGAATCCATCTAAGTTAATAGGGAGATGTTTATGTAATTATACACATATAGCACGTACAAAGAACCCATTTTAATTTCATAAACAGGAGAGGTTCGGATGATCACTTTCCAGGTTAAACAATTTACTAAGACCACTTGTTTTTATATTGACTGATCCTTGAAAGATCTGCAAGATGGAAATTTTATGTCTCTCTGAGAAGGAAGCAAAGTAATCAAGCCATAGTTTCTCACAGATACTAATTCCAAGGAAATAGTTATGTCACCTATCATCCATATTATTAATGTTATTATTAGCAGTGTTTTCCATCCTGTGTAAAGCAAGCATTTGAAACAGGGCATGGATATAAAATCATTATACCATTAGAACCTCTACTTCTGTGACTAAGACAAAGAGAACTTGGGAAAACTGTTTCTCAGATTTCTTAAATTCCAAAGGTTTTAGCTGTAAAAATTCAGCTCATGCAAAAAGGAATTATTTAGGAAAAGATGCCATCATGTTTCTTAACCTCAGCCAAAGCTTATTCTGAAAGAATTTCCACTGAAATAAATGGGATTGTTCATGAAGTCGAGTCTCTTCAGCATACATAGAAGTGAAAGAATGCTGCACGCAATTTTGAGGCATTTTCCTACTCCCTTATTCCCAAGTTACAATATAGTCAAAATGGCCACTTCAGTTATCAGGAAGCAGCAGGCTCCCAGCTCTCAGTGCTGCTCCACAAGCACATGCCTTTCCACCTCCATCAGAAAGTGGGATATGACTGAGCACCTCTAGGAGCCCAGTTGGACTCTCTGCCCCAGGCCGTGGCTAACTCCAGTCGGGAGCCTGTGACCCTTCACATTCCTGCAGAGGTTGTGTCACCCCCTCCCCCCCTTCCACTTCCTCAGATTTGCCACATCTTTTGGCAGAACCTCCTTCCAGCTGGAGGTTTAAGAGGGATGAATGAAGTGGTTGGGATAGACAGGAAGAGTGACCTGAATCAGCAGCAGCTGAGGCAGCACATCTGACCACACACTGAACCTGAGCAGCGATGCTGAGCTCCCACACGGGCTGGAAAACTCGTGTGGGATCCAGCTGAGGGCACCATCAAACAAAGCTGCTTTTCCCACACATTGCTATGGTCAGCACCTACAAGGAGGAGGAATATACGGCCCCATCACAAACTAGGATCAGTCTGTTTAAAGCTGAGGTGTCCCTGCAATGTGTAGTCACAAATATGTGGAGAGAGTAAGGATTTACAGTTTTATAATCCTATTGGGATTATAAACCCAAGTGTTCAGCAGTTAAACCATGATTTTGCTCAGCTGTGAACCCTAATTCAGTCCCTTCATGGCAGCCTTTGGGACATGATAAAATCTCATTATTTTCTAGCTCCAGCCCCCTTCACCCTGTCTCCATGAGGGACATACCAGGCTCAGGCCATAATTACCTCCATAATGCACACTCTGCCCTTTGGCACCTCAGGCCCACTCTTTCAAATCTGTGAGCTCATTACTCTGCCAGGTGTTTATTCTGCACACAGGACAGAAAAGCCCCAAATCTTCTTGTCACTGCACGAGAATAACCTGCTTTTAGAACTGTATAAGGTATATATTTATTCCAGATGGCCTACTTCACAACAAAACCCATGAAAATCTACCTTGAATTTCTCTCTAAAATGCCTAAATTGCACCAAGCAATCAGTCCCAAAATTCTGAAATTGAACAATTAAAAGTTCTATGTTACAAAAATAACATATGATGATATGAAAGGAACCACAGCTACAACCTGCTCGCCTTGAAAAGTTCTTGATGAAGTATTCCTATAATGCAAAAACACTCCAAAAGAGCATGTTCATCAAAATTTCCTGGAGGAAAACTCTCAAAATGCTACAGAAAATGCCAAGATTTTGGGATAGTCATTCAAAACATAAGACAGAGAATATGAAGGGCTATTACAGTGTGGAATTTATGGTACTTAAAAAAATCATTACCTTTTGAGGTATATGCATCTCATTTACATATTTCATTTAGCACGTGGTGTTTTGTTGTGCTATTTCAGAAAACTAAATTTGATACATACTTCCTGCAATACAATTTTCCCCTCTAAATAATATATTTAAAAGAATTTGCTGAGACTGCTGTCATTATTAAATGAACGAAGTAATTTCATGCTGAAAAACATTCTTATAAGGAAGATATCCAAATATTAGTATTTGGTGGGAATGGGTAATGCTAACTTTCTGCTGCACTAACTGATCTGAAATAGCAATGTAAATCGATAAAACCAACCCAAAATGACCTGATTTAGTTCCCCTTCTTTTTTTTTTTTTCCTAAAGGGTGGAAATTTTCGTTTTTGCTTTTTTTCCTGACTCATGAAAGACACCAGACAGTGATGTGGATGATGTGGTGAAAGCTGTGAAAGAAAAAATTCTGCTTAAGTCAAGGAGTAGGGGAAGTGGTCACTCTGCGAGGTCATTTTCCTGTGAGAGTCTGTGACAGCTGGAGAAAATTAACCAAAATATCTGCATTCCAGAGAGGTATAAAAAGAAGAAAGAAAGGGAGAGGAGGGGTCAAATGTCTTGTGGAAACCTGTAGGAATGGCAATAGCATTTTCTATATGGGGTTGCTCAATCTGGTTGCCTGACAAAATTCTGCAAAAATAGGAGGAGATTTTTAAAGTCTCCGAGGGTAGTGAGGCAGCCAGCTCCCTTAAAAGTCAGCAGGACGTTCATTAAACTTGAACAGATTAGGTGGATTGGATCTTTTCTCTGATGCTGGCACAGGGACCACACAGAAATCCTATTCCTAACACTTTATTACCATTTAAAGCTCACAGGTCAGTCACACTTCCAGACTGGAAGAGCTGGGAAGACAGCAGTAACACCGAGGTAATCAGAGGGATTCTTTGATTTCCATGTTTATGTCTCAAGGAAATAGTCAGTGAATGCCAAATTTGCTTCTACACTAGTTCTGAATCCCCAGCACTGTTTTTGCTTTGCAATAAAGTAAAACTAGAATTTTTTGAACATTTTAAAAATTGATTTTTGTTCTTTTTAAAAAATCCCACAGGCTTTCATGTCAGGTGGGTCTGTTTCTTCCTGGTCAGAACCAAACTGGATCAGAACCAAAGTCTGAATCCTGTAAAAATGAGTGTATTTTTGTGAAACATTTTGACTCCACTGAAGTTGAATATTAATGGCAACCATACCTTCCTCCTTCAGAACACTTCCATCCCCGTGGATCTTCTGGTCGTTTCAGACTACTCTGCAAAGGAAGAACAGAAAACAAAGTTGCTTTGAGATGAAGCAGCTCGGTGGTGTGATTTCAGGCAGTGACAGGAGAAATCAATTCATGTATGAGGGATTCTGGGGTAACAAAACTCTGCCCAAGTCCATCTGTAGCCCCATGTTCAGGCACTCCCTCAGTGTGGGTACAACAGAAGGAACTCAGGCAGGACTCAGGAGATGACATTCACAAGTGGAAGCACATTAAAGGGACTCAAAAGCAGAATTCAGATATTTTTTTAAGACTTCCAGTCATTACAGTTGAGGTGTGGACTTCAAAACAACACAGCTCTCATTTGGGCAGCTAAATTTTACAGACCAGTCCATGTCCGTGACCTTCCGCTGCAAGACACAGAGCCAGACTTCCCTCTGAAAATCCATCTACCTCTTGGGCTTTTTTGGGAAGCTGAACCTTTCAAAAGCTACGTGCTAAAATCATAAACCTTTCTAAAACTGCTGAAAAAAAAGGCAGAGAGACAGAAAACTGCTACAAACAGCCTTAGACATCACAATCCTGTGCCAGATTATCTACAAGTGGAGGAGCAACTGCTTCATATCTGCAGCAAGGCTGTGCCTTGGGATGAGATCTGGACATTCCCTGTCCATAGGAGGTTTCACATTCATTGCATGAAGGAGAAAATAGCACAGCTTTAAGTTACCAAAGGCAGCAGCCTCAGAGGATATTGCAGAAGGACTTCACGTGGCCTCCAAAACCTAACTCAGCAACACTGTGTTCTTTCCATTGCAAAATACCCACGTGTGCCTTTTCCTCATAACTTGACCATTTGGTTTGAAGTCTCTATCCCCAGTTATCACAATGTTGCTGCTCTTCACTTAATCTAATTTTCTCAGGCAGTTTATCTAGTTTTTGGAGCAAAAAGAAAACAGTATCTGAGTAAGGAAGGCAGGTTTGTTTATTTTTTTGTTTTCTAAAAATTTATTTTGACTTGCCTGTTCTCTCCTTTCCTTCATCCTTCGGATGATAAACAGCCATGAAGGAAGTGAGAGAGCTCCAAAAAGAGAAAAACTGAAAGGATGTGGATATCTGCATTACTAACCCCATTTAATGCTAAACCTCATGCTGTGTTTGGAATCTGATATGGATATTGCCCAGGTAGCTAAAAAAGTCTCCCCAAATATTTAGAGAACATACAGTGGTTTAAAATAAGCATAAGGTGGTCCAAAATCACATCTAAACCCAAACTTAACTGGTTCAAAACTCAGTTAATTCTAAAACATGTTGCATTAACTTCCTTTTTAAGAAGGTATTTCATTCTTGTACTTCTTGTTTAATTTTTAAATGGAGCAGAAGCAGAAGCTCGAAATGTCACATGAAGCCTTGCTTTCGTAAGATTGTTGCTTGACTTTTACCTTCGTGAGGTTCAGAAATCTCCAGATAATCTCTTTGGCTTCTTATCTGAACCAAAATGCTGAACTTCTTTTGAGAATTACTCAAGCCCTATCTTTACCAGACACCATTTTTTTTTTTTTACCCATTAATGCCTCTAAGCCATCATAAAACCTCTTCCCACAATGGGGATTTTCTTGACCTGGTCATGACTATGTTTATTCCAGCCATGGAAGTGCCAAGTTTGCCAGAGCAGCTTTCCTGGGTACTTTAGCAGCTTATTGCTGTTCATAGGGAAAGAAAAGGGAAATATTTCATGACAAGCTTACTGGTACCTACCATATTTCTATCTCAGAGTTTTCCTGTGGTTAATTTGATAAATTTTTAAAAGATAAATATTGAAATATGTTTATTGACATCCTGATTATCTGTGGTTGTCCTCATATGGAGGACAAATCCTCTCCTCCACTCAAAGCCAAAATAAACAGATCTTGCACAGGCAAGTCCCAAACTGGCTGAGAGTGTTGGTTTTATCACCACAGGCTGCAGAGATGTTTGATGCCCATTAGTGCACTGCAGGTATGTTTTTTTGCAAAGATATTGTGCTTCATATACAATAGTGGCTTTCAGCCTTGACTGAACCAGTGTCACCTCAGCAACACTTTACTTTCACATTCTTTATTAAGAAAGAGAAGAAAGACGTGATTTAACAATTTTAAAAGATATTTGGCCTATTTATCTACCTTTTCTTAGAGACTGTTAATCATGAAAGCACTGAAAAAGGCTGGATAATCTGAATTAACATAATTCAATGAGTTAATTATAATGAGAGGATGAAGTATGCAAAAACCCTTCACACCTTTCTAGTAAGGTATGCAGTATCTTCACACCAGATATTTGCAAATATGAAAGGATATGAAATTGTTTTTTAAAAAAAATCACAGACTAATTCACCAATGAATTCTCCTTATTCTTCACTGAATTCCAGAATTCTTCACTGAGTTGAAAATATACTAAGCCTTTCTCAAGCAAAAATAATTTGTAGAGAATTATCTATCTATCTATCTATCTACATATATATATATATAAACCAAAACTGGTAATAGTGTTCTGAAAAAAACCCCACACTTTCATGCTTCCGATGAATATATTTATAACCAAATACACATTTATAACCAAATACATATTTATATCCAAATATAATAGTCTGAGAACATGTATTTGACAGAAGCATGGAGACAAATGCTGAATCTGTATGAATCTGTGAACAGTAGTGTCTGCAGCGGAGTTGAAAACTGAAATAAATGTACAATTAAAAGTTACCAGTGCTTACCATACTGGGTGATGTTCTGGCATTTGCTCTCAGGTAAGGGCATTTCTCATCATAAACTTATTTCTCCTGCATTATCATTTAAAGAACAGATAACAACACTTTGAATTTTCATCTTCTACTAGGAAGGTGAGTAGGTTATATCTATTTTTGTTCCATGCATCAATCTCCATTGCTTTGCATAGAAAGTAGACTTAAAATGCTACTATGAGCAATTTACACCCACTTGCTGGCTATAGATGACTTTCAAGGTTCAAGGCAGTGGATTGTAAAACTGCTGACTTCACTGGAGCACTAAAGAAGAGAAGAAACTGGATGAGACAGAGCAAGTCCTAAATGCCTTCCATAATTAACAAACATGGCAAGACAAGTTATGAAAAACAAAGGAAGACCGGACAGATTTACGCTTGAAGTCTGGTACTTTTGAAAGTCTGTCCAACTACAAAAGTCTCTTTTGATCTACATTAATTGAAAGCACTTAAAATTCAATCACACGTTTATGGCCACATGTTTTAAACTGACTCCTAATCTTGCATCTGTAACCCACTGGTCAGACTGGAATGCCTTCCTCTTGCCTCCAAGCTTACAGAGGATACAAGTCCAATGACACTTGTCTCTAGTTCCAGCTGCAGAGTTTCATACTTGTGGCATCAGAATTCCCTAAATGTGATCCTGAGTAGCATCCACGATGATAATCATCCCATCTCTCTGGCAGCTCATGACAACAACCACTTGTGGAAAGGATAAACCATCTACAGATGAAGACACTTGTCCTGGTTTGGTTTCTTAGGGTGATAAAAGAACGTGATTTCACTGGGCATGACAGGTTGTTTCATGAGCTGATCTGAGATGGAGGGAGCAGCATCTCCATCTTTTTTTAGGAAGCAGGAGAGCAGTGGAATGGAGTTCACGGTTTGAAGTGGCAGCAATCAGCAAAATCAAACCACCATGCGTGTGGCTGTGAAGGACCAGGTGAGGGAAAGAAGAATAAGGAAGTCAAGAAACCACATTTATTCCCAAGGTTGCTCTTCGACCAAAACCTGCAGTGCAAACCTTATGTGCCACCAGATAACAGGACTCCATCCCGTGTGACAGGAACTACCAGATCAGAGAACTGCTTGCCTGGATCCACTCATCTGCACCAGCAGTGACTTCAGGAGCAACATTCAAGCCCAGCTTTGAGTCTTTTCACAGGTCAAGCCACTTGTGTACATTATATTCCAGATTTATGGACCCCTACTCTTTCAGTTTCCCCCTCAAAAAACACTGAAAGGTAAAAAAAAATTCTGCTTGAATATTTCACTGAGTTATGTATGAGGAAGAGCTCTGGTAAAGGGATTCCATTATTGTACTGTCTTGACTAATAGTTTGTGTGACATGCATAAGGAAGACCAGATATTTGCAAATGTAGAGGTTTTTTTGCCCAAGGACAGCTTGTAAAACCCATTAACATGAATTGTGTCTGAGCTGATGAGGGAAAAAGAAAACACTGAATCCAGACCTTCAATATTTTATTGGTGTTTCTGAACTTTTATTAGCTGTACTTTCTTCCATAAAATCAATTTAATAAGGGGAGCAGTGTTTTGGTAATGCATCAAAAGCAGTTCTTCTCTTCAAAGGGCATCTTTTTCACTCAATCTCTTCTCTAAAGACAGTGACATTAGTTTTGTAAATTAATAAACAGGCCAGCATCTGAGGACTGCATGAAGCCTCCATCACCCCTTATTGTGCTTTCTCTTCTGACCCCACTTTCCAGTGCAGGGCCCTCATCTCGACAACAATACCCTGAAAGCCTGTGTGGCACTCTGGGATCACACTTGAAAAGGCCTTTGGCTGAGGCTGGCTTTCAAGAAGGGGGGACAATTGGCAAGGGGCCTGTGGCTATTCATGCAGAACAGGCAGTGAAAAATGCCTGAAGTCACTTTCAGGGGTGGGCAATGCCCAAAAAAGAAAGCCCACATAACATGAATGGCTGCTGCTAGGAGACTAAAACCAAAGGCATGCCACTAGCAGGCCTCCATGTGCCGACATCAATGGGTTCATCCTATCCCTATTAGGGGCCTAAAATGATGGAGAAACATGAGAAGGGACTATAAGCAGGAAAGGAAAATAATACCAAAGTACACAACGGTCAATGCTTATATTGTTATCCTAAACACTCGGGAGAGGGAAATAATATTTTCCATGTTTAGCACCTTTTTCTGTTGACAATAGTTGCTGACAAAAATCTAATAGGAGAAATGATTATGGCACGTTTTCCTGGGGGGGGAAAGCGATGCGCTCTGATAATTAGTTATTCCTCGC